ATATATAATCTATATGAAGCGATAATGAAGCTTTTATGAAGGGAAACAAGTTTGACGAGGACATTTTTGATTTTTTGTGCACTTACATTATATCTGCATTAAAGCGGCAAATCAACCTCCTTCACGTGATTGTCCCAATTTTAGTAGGACACACCCACGAAAAGTTGTTTACTACAATAGAGTCAATCACGCGCTAAAATTAGAGATTCTTCGGTAAGTATAACTCTATCGCGTCCAACAATTGATAAATATTATTCGCTTTTGCGAATCTGGGCGTGTGACGATGTTGATCCGCCACGTGGGTGGACGTTTATCGATAAGCGAGATTTTGCATAACGTGATTATTGGCCGCCAATGCAACGCGAATGGCTCCGCAATCAGATAAAGCTTAGAAAAATAAAAATCGTATGAAAATACAGTTGACAGACAAGAAAAATTTATCGAAATAAATAATCGGCCCTCGCGAGTCTCTCGTTAGAGAGGGACAAATAAATCGTCGACGTCAAATCCGCCTAAATATCGCCGCGTGACAAATCACATAACTCGGCACTTACGAATCCGCGGTATTTAAGAAGCGCTTGCTGTTTTTAATAGCCATGCGATGTCATCGTTGTAGCGCGACCTTATATCTCTCGGTCTTTTTAAAGCTTTTCTCGCTTCTTTCATCGATTTTGACCAGTTAATCGATCAACGTAAAAAGTGCTCGTAAATCGTTCCCTTGCAAATCTTAATCAGAGGAATTAATTAACATTCTTTTTCCTACACTATTAAATATTAAAGGAACAATTATATGACCTAATTCCTTGAATGAAATAATATTTTACTATTTTTATTATTTCCATGCCCTAAAAAATACTAAATTTTAATGAATATTTGTTTGATTATTTCTAAGTAAATATTTATTTACTGAAGTTAACGTTGATTACTTAGTACTATTTAAAGAAATATGTATTAAGATTTAATAATTTTTTTTCAGTGTGTGTGTCAAAATGTAAATCAATTTATCTGTATAATTGATTTCAAAGTAAACAACGTCTATAGTAAATGTTTTGTGTGTGTGTGTGTGTGTGTGTGTGTGTGTGTGTGTGTGCGCGCGCGCGCGCGCGTGCATTTAGTAAATAAATTAAATTAAATGAAGTTTAATATATTTTCTTGAATAAAACTCAATTGCTTTAATTAATAACATATTGGACAATGATGACTCATAAAAATAATTAAATTTAACAATAACACAAATTAGTTTTGATATTATAAATTTAAAAATATATAAAAATGTATTCTATCAAAATTGAAAATTCCGCATAATTTTTTTAATGAGAATATCTTTCACTATTAATTCACTATTAAATGTAAACTTTTCGACAGGGTTTTCAAAAGATGCAGGTTTAGAAGGACCTTTCCTATCTAAAATAATAATATTCAATTTTCTCCAGTAGAACACTTTTTAATATAATTTACGTAGCAAACAAATATTGACAAAGGGAAACATTAATAATGCGCGAAAATCGAGAGGATCCCCATTCAACGATAACAATGACAACGACAGCGAGAAAGAAGCGAGAAGAGAGCCAACACCGCGGGGGGGCAAACGAGTTGCGGGGGAGGCAACTCCCGGAGTAGCATAAAGGTGACTCCTCGCGGCCAAGACATCCCATATGCCACTTAGCATCCCGTTCGGTTCGGCAAAATCTCCTTCGTGGAAGATACTTCTCTATCATTTTTTTTTCCACGTTAATAAAGACAAATAAAGACTCGAGAGAAAGAGCTCCTTTGAGATTATCCTTCTCGCGATAAAACAATAAGCTGATGCACGACGACGTTAACAGTGCCGACCGATTTTCGCGTGCGATTCCTCAGGATTGAAAGTGAAACAACACGCGCTCGAGGAAACGGATCTCGATAGAATCGCGAGTGAACCTCTCTTCTTTCTTATCACAATACGTGGATCCACGACGGTGATGACAAGAAGCGCGTCATGTTGTTTCCTAGTGCTGCTATTCTCATTGACGTCTCTGTGCAACGTTAACGCGAAGTTGGATCTTCAGACTGAAGACAGGGATGATCTCGAGCAAGAACTCAGAAAATTGTGGCCCTTCGTTCAATCAGCAGACGAGAATGATTTCGCGCCTCAACGAGAAGAGGCTTTGCAGAAAATACAAGAGGTGATAATGACAACTTTCGTCGCGACAAATGTTCTCCATAATCGTGACATATCGGATACTCTCTAAAATGCTTAGAGTGAATTTTACTCTAAAAAGTAAAGTCTCTTATAGCTAATTCCTTTATTCCTTAAGTTATCAACAATTTTATCCAGATAAGATATCTTATGAACAAAGTTATCTAGAGATGAAGAAATCGGACATAAAAAAATGAAAATTGAGTCTTTTTCAAAACTGGCTCAATTTTCGCTTTTTAGAGTGAGATTCCTCCAAAGAATTTAAAGAATTACGATAAATGAGAGAATCAAGCAACAATCATCCGGCCAGAAGTGGCGATTTGCTGTCTTCAGATAATGAAATCTCCAAGTTTCACACTAAACAGTAAAATGATGAACGCATTGCAGATCCTTGGTATTCGGAGTCAGAACGAGAATCTGGCCCATCGCAAGATACCGCCGCAATTCATGATGGAACTCTACAATACTATCGCCGATCCCAGCGGAGTTACGCGAGGCCGGAATCCATATAACGCCAGAATCGTGCGTAGCTTCGTTGAAAGAGGTAATTCTTTCAGTATATAATCATTAAACACTCGCGGAAGTCACATAATTCACTGTCGAGAGCGAGAATCGCGATTTAAACATTTTTCTCGTTGTTTTGCACGTAGATCCTTTCTTATCGAACTTCTATTTCTTTAACGTCTCGGGACTCGAGATGAACGAATCGGTGCTGGAGGCTGAGCTTCATCTCTATCGGAAGAAAATACCATCGAGGAATGTACATCCATTAACGTCTGTGTCGCCTTATTATCTTGTAAGTGCCTGGCACGATCAGTGTCGTCGATCAGCCTGTCAATCTTTACATGTGAATCAAACGTGTGAACTTGATGTGTTGATGTGTTAAAAAGATTCGATAGCACATATTTATAATTAATTTATAATTAATTATAATTTATAATTAATATTTATATTTTAAACAAAGTATATTATATATGTAAAAGTTGTGTTAATAATATTCTGTTTTTATTAGGCAACACATTTTTATAGTTTATTTACATTATTTGTTACTATTTTTATTGTTATAAATTAAAATTAAAAGTGATCAAAATCTAAATGTTTTTATATAAGTGTTTTTTAAAATTTCATTGCAATATCTACCAATTAGTTACAAATATTTGGAAAAAATTAATATTTTGTTTATTCGACAACTAATTTAAGTGTAAAATTTGAAAAATATTACTTCTTATTAAAATAATTTTTTTGTTATTTTTGAAATATCTATCATGCTTCTTAATATAAATTTTCTAATGTAAACTTTGATATACGTAGATAAGAGTGTATCAAGTCCTAGACAATCGCAGCCTTGATGTGCCAGATCTTCACAGATTATTGAATATTCGTTATGTCGGTGCGCACGCTTCCGGTTGGCAGGTGAGAATAATATAATGATTTAACATTGACATTTATTTCCTTCCGCAATGATAATTTCATCGAGATCAATAATAATTTTTAATCAAATATTATATTATAAAATAGTCAAATATTAAACATAAGTTTTTTAAAAGTTTTTAAATTAAAAGTTTGTCATGATAATTTATCAAATTATTCATAATTATCTAAAAGAATTAAAAATCATAAATGCAATTTGATATTTTCATTCAATAAAATTTGACCAATTTCAGTAATTCTCGTTAAAAAAATAATGTCAACTACTTGGTTAAATATATTTAACATATCGCGTTGAATTGGATAATTCAACAATAGTTTTTGTATACAGATATTCAACGTGAAGCAAGCCATCCTCGATTGGATGAGCGGCGAGCCGAATCTGGGTTTCCTGGTGACAACTCAGGATCTATTCCAGGACGAGGTATTGGTGGAGTTTTCCCGCCGAAATGATTACCACCACAGCAAGCAACCGATATTAGTGCTCTTCGATGATGATAGTAGTGATCGGTCCAGTGAAAGATCGGTAACTGGGCCGCGATATTATGCACACGAAAAACAAGATGACAACCAACAAGAGGAGAACCATGAAAAAGGTCCAATATACAAGAAAAATGCGGAAAACGAGAAGATCGATTTAGAGAACGACTATGACGGTGTCAAACACAACAGGAGACACAAGAGGCAACAGGAAGGCAACGGTCAGCCCGAAGAAGTTCTCCTGGTAAACAGACACGAGTCGAAATTTTTCCAGCGGCTAAAGAAAAGACATAAAGAAGAGGAGGAAGAGGAGGAAGACGAAAAGAAGAAACAAGGTGAAATCTCTCGTTATAACAATCCTCTAGAAACGACGAGGTACCGTCGCGACTCGACGTTCTCTCGGAAACGCACTTCCTGTGGTATCGTGTCAAAAAACTGCTCACGGATCACACCAATCCTCACGTCGATGGACATCTACGAGAGAGCGATGTTTCGCGAGAAGCTGGGACAGGTGATAAGGAACAGATCGACGTCGGTCGACACAGGACGTCATCGACCGGCGCGATCAGCGAGCAGCCAGAGCTTGTTTGTACCGGAGCGACCGGAAAACGCGATCGAGTGCACGAGGCACGAGCTCTACGTGGACTTCCACGATATCGGGTTGTCCTCGATAATCGCGCCGGCTGGCTATTCCGCGTATCAATGCAAGGGCGTGTGCGAACTGCCTCTCAGCCAAAACCAACGGCCGACGAATCATGCGACAATACAGGCGATCGTACACAAGATGGCCAAAGGCGTCGAAAGGCCCTGCTGCGTACCGACCAAGCTGCTCAGCATCAGCATTCTCTTCTACGACGACAACGAGAACGTTGTGCTCAAGATATACGAGGACATGATTGCGGACCATTGCGGATGTCGTTAAGAGGGGAAAAAGAGAGGGAGGAAAACCTGATCACTTCCGAGGTGTTCAGCCATGATTAAAATAAATACTGTGTGAAGAAAACAATGATAAAGGAAGGAAGAAATATATAAGAAATAGAGAGGTAAATAGAGAAAATAAGTCTAGGCTTTTAGATCTGATTCGTGATGAATTAATTCTTTTCTGTTGCGCTAAAGGAAACTAAGTTTTTGAATCGCTAAGTTATTGAAGTAGGAATGGAGATTCATATTGTAATACGCAAGATGGAGATTAAATTTTGAGATGATAATGTTTTCATAAATGTTGGCATAGAATAAATAAGTTGATCATTACCTCATTTTTTCTTGCAGTTAAATAAGAATTACGAAATAATTCGTTCTCATTGTAAATAGGCAGATTATTGATCGATGGCGATTGATTCCTATTCGACTGTTTTGTTGTTAAAGGGTTTAGTACAACAGCGGCTTAAACATTTATTTATGACCATTATTTGTGGAATTGGAATGGATTCCGATCAAAATTGTTCAATTATTCCCTAGTCTTTAAATTCTTTAAAATGGAATCTCACTCTTTGAGATCAAAAATTGAAACTTCTACCACTCTGAAAAAAGAGTGACAGAATTTTCACTCTTAAGACCAAAAAATTTAGAATAGATTTATATATAGTTTTCTAAAAAAAGAATAATTTAGATCGGAATTCATTCCGTACATTTTTATAACGTGTTCTGATCTTTTTTATTAACTTTTTTACTAATTCAAGTCTCATATAATTATGGCTTTTAATGAATTAACGGAGAATTCTCTTGAGACTGTCATTCCCGGAGGTTCGTGACGATCCTGTAATGAGTAATCGACACGCCATTCGCAGCTACTTTTGTACATAAGACATTCCCAAGTGTACGTATGCCGTATAGAATCAATAACATATACATATATGATTAATGAAGTATATCTGATTAGTGTACTATTAGAATATACTGTAGCGCCGTTAAATTATTACTATAATTGTAAACGTAGACTTAGGCGGGTGTTGCTCAGCTATGCGTGCACATATATAAGCACCGACACATCTCATCGAATTTATTTATAACGAAAATAAAAAAAAAATAGAAATAAAATGATATTCAAGCGACTTGTGATTCGAATTATTGACCACCGTAAACTCCGATCTCTCTTTTACAGATGAAAAGAATCTTCCAAAAGGAGAAGTCCAACAATGTTCATGTTCTCGCGAATTTCGCGAATATTCACGCATTTAAGCTTAATCTACAATGTGCTCTTTACATCCTGTTTCTCAGTTACATATTTTATCTAACTGTACAATAAAGTGTGTTGAAGATTTAATTTATTTCTATTTATTTCTATATTTATATTAAATATTATATTAAATATTATATTTATATTTTTATGTAAATATTTATATTCCTTTATATCTATTTTACATATTTTTATATCTGTGTACAACAACTTTAATATGCATTGATTATATTGTAATAGGACATTAGTCCAAATTCGCTATTACTTTTTACCTTTTTCCGTTTTCATGCCCGTTTTATCTCAATATCACGTGTTTGTTTCTTCCAAAGGTCATCAACTTTTATCTTGGGCAACAGAAAACGAAGAAACAGAATAAAAGGCAAGAGGTAAAAAGTGATTAAAAGTAATAAGAAATAGAAAGCAAAGAACATTGTAAATTAGGTTTTAATCTTGCGGGATACGAACGGCGCATTGTCTTTTTATTGTCTCGTCGCGATGCGTCCTCCTCGACTGAGCACTCATACTTGTTTTCGTTGGGAACGAAATTGCTGAGATGATAATTTACAGAGGCAAACCGGCTGACAACTACGATCGTCAACGGCGGGCGCGGCGCATCTCGGATTACAGAAATGATTGCAGCCGCGGAATGCGAATGATCACTACTGGTCGAGCTTCGCTCGATTGTATTATCGTTATGATTGCACGCAATAACCTTGTTTCCTTCCTTACCTTGATAAAAAATGTATTTTAATTCATTTTTTATTTTCCTGCTTGTTATACAAATCAATAAATGAGAAATATTGGCTGAGTTTAACAGAAAAATTAAATAACTTTGTACACTCTTATAAGTGTTCTTTGTGATTGGTTCTTGCTCTTAGTTTCTCATTGGATCCAAATGTATAAACCAATTATATCGAAGCATCTTACAACAATTGTAAAAGTGCTTTTCATAAACACTTAAAAAAATATAGATATACAAATATACAATTTCCACGTGACGTTATAGAGGATTAAGTAAAAAATTGAGAAACAGGAAAATCGTGATCGTTTTTGCGAATACGCGCAATTTCTTCCAGCAATGGTAAATCGCACGGGATTTTTATTATTATCGTAATCGGCCTTGTCTGCGACCCTATGAGATTGAATAAAATAAGACGCGATCAAAATCTCGATTGAATAATTGTCCCGCGGTGAAATCGCGCAATTTCGCAAGATTGAACGAAATTACAGGCGATCACGCGGTGTATTCGCTCGACGAAACGTCACTTGGTACCCCGGCTTGTTTTCATCCTCTCCTCCCTCCCCCCCCCTCCTCCTACCCCATCATTCCTCGCATATACTGTGACCTTCTTCGTTTTTAGCACACGTGCCAGCGTAACGAGGGCCACGAGGGGGTCTCATTATTTAGTCTTAATTTTATATTCATTCACTTCAACCCCTTCCCCTTTATTTCCGTAAAAATGCATAGAAGCGTAATTCACAATGAAAAAAAATGTATTATACAATTTCTTTTCATTTTTCTTTAAACATGACATATTTTACGATATGTCTAAATTTACAATTATTTCAACAAATATAATCGATTTAAGAAAGAATAGTTTATTTTTAAGTATTAATTATTTATAAGCACCTACCAACTAGCTTTTATGAAAATTTTAATTATAATTTATTGAATCTATTTATTGTGATTATTTTATATATTAATTATTTAAAAGTTTTTATTTTTCGTTGATATAGAAAGTTGTAATAAATAATAGACAACTGTCTTGACATTTTCTTTAGTATCTACGGATTTTATATCGCAATACACAGAAAGGATGGTTTGTTGATGTACTAAAAAAACTAGGTCTGTAAAGATAATTCTGTTAAGAATATCAAAATAATTATATAAAACGCTCACACTGCTGTACAGAATGTTATAACTTATTACCATTGTTCAAGATGCTTGAGATTTCTATATAATTATTTTGATGATCCAACAAAATTATTTCCACATCTGTATCTAGCTAAATTTCCACAAAATCCTTTTCGTGTACAGACTTCTATGTTCTATATTATATCTTCTTCTGACACTGATTCGTGTTCGTTGTTCGTGTCTCAAGGCAGTATTCATAATCTCGTTCTTATTTTAAGATCGTCTCAAATAATGTCTTAAGATACTAATACAGCCTTCTGATTGGCTTATGACATTTTAAGTCTGTATGGGAGGCTGGGGCTAATAGACTCATTTTTCAGTTTCGAATTTTTACAGACAAAATTAAGAGACTTATTGAAAAAATGAATTCTACACCAGTTACTACATACATTTGATTACCTAATGATATTTTAATAATAAAAACTGATAACTAATATGAAAAAAAAATGCATTTTTCTAATGCATTCCATCTGATTCAATTAGCCTCAGGATCAGACTAATTTGACTAAGATTATTAAAATAAAGATTAATGTATTTTAAGCTACATCTTTGGCTACATATTAATAAAACTTTTATAAAAATATATTTTATACACAAACGTTCGCTTCGCAGGGCAAAACAATGCTTCTTTTTGCAAAATTTGTTCATTTCGTGCAAAAACACGTCGAATGAACCTAGTTTCCGAGAGATTGGACATGAGAGAACTAAACTTATAACATTTCCCATCAGGAAAATTTCTTTAAAAAAATAAAATTTTGAGTAAGTACTATAAGAGTCGTCACTAAATGAATCATACAGTTCCTGTGATTAGTCTACTAACCCTCCCTATCCTTTAGTTTATTTTTTAAAATATTAACAATATACGATAACAAAGACACATAAAAAAACAAAATCTGTTGGACTTAATTAAGTAAGAACTACACTTACTATCTAAGCAGAAATAACTTATCAGACAATCTATATACAATTATAAAACAAAAACTTTAAGAATAAAAATATTTACTTAAATATTAATTATATATTTTTTAAAATTGTAGCATAACTTCATAGATGTGTTCGCAACAAAATGTTACAGCAGACTGAGCGGCAATCGTTACTGCGTGCAGTCACGTTTACGCGTGCCTCGCGTGTTTTGTTTTTAATGTAGCCTCGATTATTCTACTTATTCTCACAGTCAATTGACCCTGGTCTTCCTACTTAAGACAATCTCAAATATAAGAATCGATCGAAGACCGGTATTCAGTAGTGGATTTTTGATATTTGAAATTGTCTTAAGTACTTATTATTTAAAGTAATTATTCTTAAGTATCATATCACTTGGAGGAGCAGATCTGAGGACATTTTTGCATGTTCCATTCGTCACTCGAGATCGCTCGCGTGCCGCCGCGTGCATTTCGGGGACACGCATATCCCCGACTATATTTAATCCGCAGTGGGTGTATTTTCGAATCGGCTCGACTAAAAATAACTGGAACGCGTTCCGCTGCATTCCACCGTTGTATTTAGATCCTCGTAATACGCAGGCGTGCATGGCGCACGCGAAACGCACACGCACGCACATCATTATCCAACAGTTTTGGGGAACATTCCCTGCGATTGCTGAAAGATTTCGTAGGATGCGTAGGAAAGCTCATTATATTTTATGTTTTTGGAGAAAAATATGAAACTTTCCATCCGTCGTAAAAGGATCAGCGCTAAATGTTACGTCCATTTCTATACTGAGAAAAAATATAGTTAATTTTAATAAATATTTAGTTCAATACTGCCAACTAAACATTTATTTACAGTAAATAAATATTTGTTCAATAAAAAAAAAATGATTGTTAAATTAAATTAACATTTTTTGTATCAAATAAATATATCTTTATATTTAATATTTAGTTGGCAGTATTGAACTAAATATTTATTAAAATTGACTATATTTTTTTCAGTGTATCAACGTTGATTAAATTAACTTTGATTTGAGTTTAATGTACTTTTTATTTTTTTTCTAACGTTTCTAATAATGTAGTTTAATTCGAATTTTAGTTAAATTAACTCTTTATCTCTTTCTACTTCAAGAATTAGAGAAAGAAAGAGCAAGTTGGACCGCAAAATCTACATTGGTAGAAACAGGCAATTCTTAGAAATAGAAAAAAATAAGTTAAACCGAAATTAAGGTTAATCTGCATCTGCACAGACAGAAATAAAAGCGAAAAGTACTTATATTTCTCCTTTTTCTATCCATCGATCACTTCTTCTCATAGGACCCTGTTAATTAAATCAAGATTCTTTAACATCTAATCATCCTGATTATCTCGTAAGCTTTGATCACTGACAACTCATGATTGTTTGTTGTCGCATCAAACTTGTAGACTGCATGTGATCTTCGAATTGTAAACATTAAAATATACCCGCCAAGCGTGATGGAGAAAGGAGGAATATTTTTCGCTTTTATTTCTGTCAATGCAGATTAATCTTAATTAATAATTTAATTTTTTTCTATTTCTAAGAATTATGCCTGTTTCTACCAACGTAGATTTTGCGATCCAACTTGCCAAGCGGATATATTTTAATGTTTACAACTCGATCACATGCAGTCTAGGTTTGATGCGACAACAAACAATCATAAGTTGTCAGTAATTAAAGCTTACGAGAGCAGAATGATTAGATGTTACGGAATCTTTACTTAATTAACAGGATCCTACGAGAAGAAGTGATCGATTATTATTCGAAAGGGAATAAGAAAAGCTTTGGGGTTGGCAGAGCTGGTGAGAAGCAAAATCAAATGAAGAAACAAGGAAGACTAAGAAGAAGAAACAAATCAATGAGAAGCGAAGAAAAAAAGAAAGATATCTAGAATTCGCGCACACGAGAAAGTTTTTCCAGACAATCTTAATAATTTATCAACTCCAATCTAACAATAAACCCGAAAAGTTATAGAAGAAGGAAAAATAAAGTAATTGCTCTCATGCTCGTTTCGCCATTAAATGTGCACGGAATCAAGTTTTATCTGTTTTTCTAGAAAAAAGGAAACATAAATGAAGAAAATTGCGAAATAAGTGGCAGCTAGGAGTCGCCGGGGCTCCACGTCCATAATTGAGGGTTAATGCAGACGACCGTACGTCATAGCGCCCAATACAACGACGACACGGTGATGTCCCGTGGGTCACCATCAGGCCATCAGGGCTGTCAGGCTAGGCTATCTCGTTCTCTCTCTCCCTCTTCTCTTCTTTTTTTTTTCCTTCCGTCTTTCCCTCTATCCATCGCCGGCTGTTACACACAACACACAGTGGGACAGACTTCACCGGTTCACAACTATGCGCCTAGTGGTAGGCCTTTGAACGGTGTGCGCCGCGTGCGCCTACCTTTCCCCCCGTTCGAGATCTTTCCGAACCCTCAGCTCTTCGTTCTTTTGCCTATCGTCCGTCTTACATCACGCGTCATCGGTCGGTTCGCTTCCCCGCGCGTATCTACTGCGTCGGCGGTATTTGTTACCTGCGCGCGTGGAATGCGGCTGGTAAACAAACAAAACCGGACGCCGATTTTCCCTGAGTTCGTCAAACCGGTCAGTCCGTCGGAACGACGACGGGAAAAATCGGGACGTCCCGTAAACAGGCGAGCAGATGCCCCGAGTGATTTGCCGCGTATTTGGGTATCGATTGTGAAGGCACGTTAGTTATGTTCGAAAGGTCGAGTATAGCTGAGAAGTGGAACGCCGCTTATACGTCCCGTCGAGATCGGAGCCCAGAGCGACAAAATGAAAGCGCTATTCGTGATTTGCGTCGCGGCAGTTTTTCACATGATCTTCGTCGCTTCGCACGACGACAAGGATTACGACGAAGTAAGTATGAATCAAACGACAAGATAATCCATTTCCTCGAACTTACTCATTTACAATCGGAGAATCATCCTGTATGAAGCTCTCGTCTGATTTCATTTTTTACTTATATAATTATTTTCAGCGATAGTGAAGTCGCTCTTGCTTAATGCACCGAAAATAGAATCGCAAATTCAATTTGCGAATAGAAAAGAAAATGAATAGTGCTGATAGCGCAAAATATCGCATTTTTTAATCTAATTTATCCGAAATCCTCTCTTAGTAGGTCATTTAGTGTAATGTAACACCCTTCAAACATGATTAATAATATTATTACAAATTCAAATTTTCTTTTCCTTGACAATCGATATTTTTCTTTTTAATACATATAAATATTCCATTCGAGATTTTATAGAAAAAAAATCTCAAGAAATTTTAAATATTTTCCCT